GGATCCTCCTGCTGTACCAGTGACCTGAAGTTTGTGCAGAGAACTAGCATGCAGGACCAAACGCTGCTGCATGGAAGGGAGACTCCAGAGGCCTTCATCGTGATCCTGTGAAACCCTTGGGAGTCTCAGCATCCTCTCTGATCTGTCTTTTTTTCTCCTCTATGATTTCTTTGACCTGTTCTCCTCCGGCTCTGCTCCACAGTAGCTGAGGGATCTGTACCTACACACACCGCTTTTCTGTGGCTTGCCTCCTCTCTAGCCTTGTCCCCCAGCTCCCTTCCCACAGTGCCTGGAGATGCTGCACCGGTTACCAGGTTCAGTCCCTTCCTTCAGCTCCGCATGATAAACAATGTGAAAAAAGAAAAAAGAGAAAGAGAGAGAGAATGAAAAGGAGCACTTTTGATGCTTTATTTGTAGGAACAATTTGTTCAGTGAGAAGAACAGAGCGCTTACAATCACAATAGTGCTCTAACCAAGCGCTGTACACAAAGGCCCCAAGCAAGCGCTCCACGTGCGTTCGCTCTGAATTCGCCTGCCTCTGCTGAGTGTTCGTGCTCCTCTCGGGGTGCAGGGCTCCGTTGCTGCGGAGCTGTGGCTTCAGCTGATGGAAGTGACTCCAGGCACCACCAGAATAAGCAGTGCCCAGACACTCGCTGCCACCACACAGAGCGTTATCCCCCACCACATGTCCCGGTATGGCTGCACAGGCAATACGGAGAGTCACCCACCTACCTCCGTTGCGCAGCGTGGCTTGGCTGAGGTACAGAATCTGTTGTTTGCTCTCCCTCGCAGGTTTTCGCTCCCTGCTGGGTAAAAGTGGTGCTCACTGCTGACTCTGGTCCACTTCTCAGAAACGTCTCCGGGCCCCCCTCTTACCCTGCCACGCATGCTCCGTTAGAGCTCAGGCACACTTCGCAGTCTGCTGGGGAGACTGCGCATCGCTAGAGGTCCTGGCTGCACCGCTGGTGGGTACAGATCCCCGACAAACTCTTCACCGCCGCATTAATAAGCCATTAGGCTAATTCTGTGCCAAGGTGTGGGAAGGACAGAGAGCAGGAGCATCCAGGGAGCCAGCGAGGTTCTTTGAGGAGGAAAGATGAATGCAGATCAAGTGGTAAAGCTTGAGCAGGACTTAAGGAACAACAAGTATTTGAAGAGGATCACTAGGAATGACGGAATGAAATTTCCTGGAGGAAATGCAGGCGGAATACTAACAGCAGCTTCCGACTGGGACTGCAGAGCAGTCCCCTGAAGGACAGCATTTTAACCCTGGTGTCAGGGGCGTTTAAAAATAGGCTCAGCACACCACTAGTGAATGTAATAACAAGCCTGAATGGCCACAGGCAGGTGGGTTTGTTATACATCTTTTCCATCTCCAGCTCTTACAGCTCTGCAAAGAAGCAACAGCAACAAACAGGTCACTGTTTTCAGGCCATGCTGGCAAATTATCACAGAAAGTGTATCTATTTCAGTTATTGCAAACTGCTCCTGCACAAGAGAGGATTTGTAAGAAAAAGAACTACAAAGATCCCGTGTGTCTTTCTAACCTGAAAGCTACTCCCAAGGGCAGTGTTTCCAGTACAGAATACATGACTAGAGGCAGCCAGGAATTTTCTGAGGAAACAGGCTTTTCTTGGGAAAGATTGCCGTTTGGCAGCCGCACCGCTTTGGACAGAGCTTTGGTGGGGCATCGGCTCTCTGCCCGAGCGTGGGGGCTGCGGGAGTGCAGCAGGGCAGGAGAGAGCCCCCCTCCCCCACAGAAATGTCTCCTTTCTGCATCGGACACAAGTTTTTCATGGAGTGGGATATGCGATCGCGAGTAGTTGCTGCCAGCGTGCCAGTTCAGAGCCAAGCGGGGGGGACCAGCCAAGGCTGAGCACGAACTGTTAAGAACAGCTACAGCATTTGCTTAGAGAGTCTTAAGCATGCTTGTCTCAAACTGGCTGTGTTAAATGTGTAAATGAATTATCGCTTCTGGAGATCATGGAAAAGATTGTCAGGCATCTAAACGTCTGTGCACCCCTTTCAGCACACTGGTTTGACTTGCCCTGGCTGCGGCTATGGCTCACTAAGAGCATCTGAACCCAGGATGTATGTATAGTAAATTTGCTTCATTATAGCTGTGAGCAAGGATTTGGGGGTAAAGCAGGAGCAACTCCCACAGAGACACGTGCCCTGCACAGCCACAGCTGCAAATAAAAAACTCTGGCTAGCAAGGCTCTCCAGAGCTTACGTAGCCTATAGATGTCCTGCTGTCCTTCCCAACAAGAGTTTGTCCAGCCTGTTCGTAATTCTCAAAGGACCAAAATCCCACAGTCACCCCAGGCAACATACTTCTGTTCTAACAGCAGCCATTTCCTCCTGCTTCATATGCACAGGTATCCACACCCTCTGTGTGTGCCTGGATCCGGCCCGTTCTCGGCATGCATCTGTCACGCTTTGCCCACGTAAGCCTGCTTATGCACTACTTGCTGTGTACCTTTGGCAAGGCCATGGGCCCCTCATTAACCCTTCGGCCGGCTTCCCCGGGGCTAACAGACGCCGACCACAGCCCCTCAGTCAGATGGCCCGCAGCCGCAATTAAATGCTCGGCTTTTATTTCACTAAGCCAACGCAGAGAGGAGGGCAGGCATTCATCCGCTCGATACATAACATGCACTCTTTCCTCTTTCGGCTGTGGATGTGTCCGGGGAGCCAGAGAGGGTGCTGTGTTAGCAGCTTTGCATCAAGCATCCAGAAAATAAATAAATAAATAAAATTGCACATGAGGGAGAGGTTTTGCGCTGGAAGCCCAAGAGAGAGAACGTGCAAGACAGGGCTCCCGGCAGAGTTCAGTACTGGCACATTCTACCCAGATGCTCAGGAGCAGGTCAGTGAGCAGAGACCTACAGCCCTGCAGCTGAGCACAACAGTCTGCAGCCAGGATACTATTTGCAATTAAGAGGTGCAAGTTTTCCTGTGGTTTTGAACCAGTTTTTCCTTTGATTTCCTGTTTGAGCTTCTTTTACTCCTTCTCTCCCTGTTTCTTTCCTAGCTGAATCAATTTTTAAAAATCCGAGATGCAGGAACTGAGTGTCCAGCCTGCCCGTGTGCTCATTTCAACAGTAACAGGAGAGATCTGGATGCTCTGTAATGCTTTGGGACTCGAGTGTTCAAACTTGGCTCCAAAATGTGGTGATGTCGGCATGTGACTCCTTGCAAATTAAGTATCACCAGGCTCAAGCCTCTATCTCATCTAAGTCCAGGCACTGCAGTTTTGGATTTGCTGGCATAAAGAGTGTATGAAAGCCACGGTTAGGTCTGCACTGTGCAATGTCAGCCCCATCCAGCAAATGCACACTGCACTGAGCAGGATTTGTCCTATGCTAATACTTCTGTCTGCTTGTATAGGTCTGTGCCCCACATGAAGTACATGTAGAGCTAAAGAGAAAAAAGAGGTAGACAGGGAAGACACCAGTAGGAGAAGCCAGCACAGAATAAATCAAAGCAATCTTCCATGTGCCTTCTCTTTCTAGTCTTGGTCAGATTCTTTAATTTTGAGCCCCAGCCAGCATGCGGACAGGGCACTGTGGGCACATCCTAGTGGTCTCTTGACCTGACCGTAAGGCAGCGACCTTGCCATGGCCATGTCTCTTTCAAACCAGTCACTGGAGAGGGCCAGGTGGTCCTGATACCCCCTTCCTTTTAAAGTGCTTTCCAAAGACGGTGTGACAGGGAAACCCTGCAGCACCTCTTGCGCTGACTTGGACATTCACCTCCTTCAGTTCACAGAGCTCTTGTAGCTTCTTCCCAGAACGAAGCTGGTTTCATATACAGTGACTCTTGGAAAGTGCCTCTCAATGCTGGTCTCCAATCTGTGTCCTCCACTGCTTGAAGTGCTGATAGAGCCTTTCCTGGTCCTCTGCTATTCCTTCATCAGCTTCTCTTCCAGCAATGCACTATGGGCTATGGGCTAGGATGAAGACATTTGTCAAGGCAATCACTTCCCACAGCATCCCCAGTCTCAGAGAAGCAAGGCCGTGCTCCCATTCGATCTCTACAGAGCCCTCAGGAGCTCAGGATGGTGAGGAAGAGAGTTCAACCCATTCAGCTCTCGACCATTCCTGGACACCCCGGGATCTCTGTGGGACAGAGAAAGAAAAAAGATGCATCAGTTTGGTACAGTAGAGGTTGGGGGAGAGCAGGTATTCAAATGCCAAACCAAGGAGACAGGTTGCACTTCCCCAGGCGCACACCATGACCAAGGACTGTATCTTAGCTTTCAGGCACTCACCTGCTACGCACCCCAAGCATTGTGCCAGCCACTGCCAAACACCCCCTTCAAGGAGCTAGTGGATGGATGAGCAGCAGGAGCCAGCCCACTCTCTTGGCCCAGTGAGCAGAGCTGTGCTACGGCTTCTCCGTGCCCATGCATGCCACTGAGTGCAGATAATGGCTGTGCCTCCTTGCAGTGGTGAGCTTCTGCTCCCACTGTTAGCAGAGACATTTCTGCAGTGATGTTGCGCTCCTGGGCTGTGTAACTGAATGATCTATCAAACCATTTAGCAGGGAACGCACCTTCTGGACAGCTGACTGCTTTAGTACCCAGAAGGTGAGTTTCCCACAGTAGCTACCAAAAAGGAGAAGATTGTATGAAATAATGGAAGTAAACAGATGCATCTCCATATATTCACTCAGGGCAGCTGCCCAGAAAATCAGAACTGCAGTTCATCATACTTGCTTCTGGTTTTAATATCTGTAAATCTATGAAAGGGAAGAAAAAGGGCCTTTTATTGATTATGGATATATCTGTATGATGATGGACATGTTAGATGGAAAAATGGGAAGTTAATCTTCAGATTGAGAAAAGAACAAGTATTTGATATACCTGTGCTTTTGTTTATTTGAAAGTGATAGTTTAATAAATATATGTGAAAGATTTCGGTTGTGGGGGGAAGGAGCTTTTAAAGATAGAATGAATCGGAAGAAAGGAAAAAAAAAAACCTCTGTTCCTTGGGAACACAACGTCTCCCTCAGAAGAATTTTGGGTATCCAGAATGAAGTTATATTTCTTGTGCAAACGGAAGTTGAAGTTCTGATATGAGAGAGATGATTTGCAACAGTGTCAGTCGCCAGTACCGCTTAAAAAAATCTATCCACACTCCATCTGCCCTGCAGAGTGTCTGTCCCTCCACCCTTCTTTTTTCCTTCCTTCCTTCCAGTTCAGAGCATCCCTGGCTCCGGTAATGTCTAATCTCTGATCAATTCTGCAAAACTTGGGGCTTATTCTGCACCCTGACGTGAGCAAGTGGGAGGAAGAGCCCTGAGTTCTCCGAGGCAAGCAGAGGATTTTTCAGGCTGCTTTGAGGAGTGGGTGGCAAAGCAGGAATCCAGAGAAAGAGGTTTTCTGTCGGAACAACAGCCTGGGACATGGGGCCAATTCAGCAACTGGAAAAATCTTTGCAATGAAGTAGCTCTAAGCACCAGTGACCAACAGGTCCTAAAAATCACCCGAAGCAACGATGACATTTTCACAGACTCATTTAGACTTGAGATTAGGCTGCCGTGGTGATTAATACAACTAGAAAAGTGACTTTCTGTTATCATTGTTTCAAAGAAAGGCAAACCCACCTCTGACCACAGCTGTGGAGGTGCAGGGGAGACTGACAGAGGAGGATATGTGTGCATGGGATTATTCAGTGATGGGCAAGTCTAAATATTAGGCTATAATACCTAAGGAAGCAGAGTTAAACTCTGAGCACAAAATCAACAGTACCCTGGAGAATTTCTTATTTCCAAGGGGGATTCTACACTGCACAAAAGAAGGAAGAAAAGTCTCTCACCTTTTATGTTTTGTCCTCCTGAAAAAAAAAAAGAGTCTACAGACTGACTTTACTTCTGCTGGTGCAACTAGTGCAGTGAAGTGTACACTGGGGCTGGCAATCATTAAACATCAAGCTAGGGAGAAACTGATTTGCTAAATCAGTTGGATTTAGATGATTTTGATATATTAACCATGCTATCATTTAGTTTTGCATACAGGGCACTGTATGCAACAATGTATCAACATCTAGTAATGTCACAACTGCAGTCCAGAAATCTTGCAAACCAGGAGCTCTTTAAAAAATCCTTGAGCTTTCCCATGTGGAATAATAACAGCTACCACAACTCCAATGACTTCCACAGTCAACAGCCCCATATAGTCATGCAGGACAGGACCAAAGGCTAACGGTTTAAAAGAGGAAGAAAACTACACCCAAATATGAAGTAACAAAGATGAAATCCATGACATTCTGCAATGCGGTATGCTAAGCACGATGGAGTTTTTCCAGAACAAAACTGGAATCTCTGCTCAAAGCTTCTCTGCCTTTTTCATGAAGTTGAAGCCAAAGGGCTCTTCTTCGACTCTCCTATAGATGGAGCTTTTAAGCTTACAAGGAAACTTGAACCATGCTGCAAACTCCAAGGGCAAAGTCGCTGTTTTAGAAAGAGTTTATCTGCAAAGGAGGGGGGAATAGGCTGAACAAATTGCATGTCTGCATTTAGAAAAGAGAGCCATGAAGCAGAGCAAGGTTACGTTTCTGACTCTGAATCCCTCAACCACTGTGCTTTAATTGCCTCTTTTTCTAATTGGAAAGAGCTTTGTTACTTGCAACGGAGCTACTAACCATCCTCACCCCTCACAGATCAGTCCCTGAGGTCCTGACTTAGTTCTTAGTAAGAACAACCTGAGAGAAGTCTATGCTTCTTGATAGCTGCATGTCTCATGACATTACTATTATAATTGTGATTTTTTATGTATTCTAAATCCAAGCCATGGAGTTTTGATAGGACACATAAGTCCTATGTCCTGTTCCTCCTCCCTCATTGGATAAGCTTCACTTTCATACTCAGGTTTCTATGGCAACAATCACAGTTTTGTTTCATGACTAGTAAACTGTGCAGTTTCCTGCCAGTGAACTCACTGGCTAAGTTATTCACTGCTACAGAGAACAAAAAGGGTGGGAAAACTTGGGTTGCGTTATCTTAGCTCTAACTATTTTCTTCTCTAGTGAGTAACACGGGGCTGCCTTCCACTCAAGCTGTGTGGCGAGAGAGGTGAGAACAGTGTACATGCAGGTGCCTCCGAGCTGGGGCAGGTACCATCCCTGGTGAGACCAACAGCCTGGGTCCAACTTGGCTATCCCGAGCTGCCTCACCCCACCTTAGAGTGGGCGTCCCTCCCCGTGGCTGCAGAGCAGGGCCTTGGGAACTGTGTCAAATGCTAACTGGGGACTGCTTGGAGGACGGTTTTATTTTCTCTCGTCTGTAGATGGTAGCTGTGTCCAGACCCTTGGACAGTAAGAACTGGGAAGGGATGAGCTGCAGTTCTTCTCAGGATTGTCCGGTTCTCCCGCTGCCTGTGACCTCTGCCATTGTGGGGGGAGGCTGCTCAGGGAAGAGAGCTGGGTAAAGCATGTCCTCTGTTAAAAAAGATGTAAAAAATAGGTGGAGGGCTTAGTTACCTAGGACTCTCATGGTCCTGTCCTGCTCTGTAACATCTCCAGGCTACCCAGTGGGTCAAACGGACCCTGTTTCGACTCACTGACTTTCAAACAGTTGTGCTACACATGGCTGCATTTCACCGCATGCAAACTGAGCCACTCAGCGCAAATGCGCGCTGTTAAAAAAGAAAGTCACTTAGGAACAATTAGAAGATTGGCCAGATGCCAACAGAACACTGCAGGCCAGCTGGTGTAAATCAGCTTGTCTCCATGGACTCTAATGCAGCAAGGCTGATGGTGGCTGAAGCAATCATTTGGCCCTACAATCTCCCAGCCAGCAGCCACCAGAAACCCAGGCCCTCCATGCCAAAGTTTCTTAAAAAAAAGCAAGGTTGTGTGGGAAACCCTACAGTTAACAGATTTCAGCACAGGTTTATACTGGGGAGCAAATGTTTGTCGGGGCAAGTCTCCATTTCACCTCTCCTTCTGCTTAAATCTGCAGTCTGCAGCCTGAAGCCACAGCACATCAGTGAGAGGGTCCAGGACCTCTTTTACAGCCAGTGTTTTTCACTTCTAGATCTATAGAGACAAGGCAGAAAAATCTAGAGAAGTCACCCCTATATGACTCCCCTGAAATGGTAATGCAACAAGATTTATCATTTTACATAGGAGCGTCGGTTTATTCTTTTTCTTCACTAAGGCACTCTCTGAGACTCAAGCTGTGGTTAAGGTAAAACTCATTTTCATCAATATAATGCCAGTGAAATCAGTGGAGTTGCTCTCCATTTCCACCAGTGTGTCCCAGAGCAAAACCTGGCCTGCTGTTCAGTAATGTAGTGCTAGTACATGCTGAGCCCAACTACTTTTGCTCTTTTTCTGGCGTAAATCAGCCGTGATATTCTGAAGTCAAGCAGTCTAATTTTCCTTTACACTGCTATTACAGCACTGACGTCAGTGGAGTGACTCCAGATTTATGCTAGTGTCATTGAGAAAGGAGTTTGACCTAGTTGATTTACCCCACTGTAAAACTATGTGCAAGGGGAATTGGGTGTGCAATACGCAGCCCTGTCCAAGCATTGATGGAAGACAGGGCTAGCTACCCAAATAATGGCATAGCCTGAAGAATCCTTATTTATGGTCTCAGAATATGTGCACACACGTAGGAAGGATGTTTGGAAGATGGCAATTAAAATAAACAGTGTATCACTTCTCCTAAACATCTGCCTTGTAAAAGCACAAAATCAGATGTTGCCCTGGAATGCTTGCTATTTACTGCCCTGGGTAACCCAGGGGAGCGCAGCTTGCATGACCTCTTCCAACATTTCCTCTGCCCTGAGACCTGAATTCCTTAGAGTTCACAAGACCAAATATAATTTTTAAAATAGAAGCCAACTGATGAAATCTTACAGTCTCTGTTCTTGACTGATGTCTGTTCACCTCTGGAAAACCTGGACTTACTCGCAAGCCAGACAAGAGACGACGAACTGCCTGCATCGCACAAAGCAACAGATGTGGTCCAGATATGGGCCATGGGCCAGGTGCATTCGTCTTGCTAACTGTGTAGCCAGCTGGATTTCACTAATTTACATTTCCTTATTTTTTATCAGTACAACCCTAGAAGAGGTGGAAGACTCATGATGAAATCGATTTTGTTCAGT